CCCACTCACCATCTGACTCACCTGCTCACTCACCCGCTCACTCACCCGCCCACTCACCAGCTCACTCACCAGCTCACTCACCAGCAGCTGCCACAGGTGAACAGAGACTCAGAGACTCAGAGAGACTCACAGAGAGACCCATAGAGACCCATAGAGACCCATAGAGACTCACAGAGACTCACAGAGACTCACAGAGACTCACAGAGACTCGGAGAGACTCAGAGAGACTCACAGAGACTCAGAGAGACTCAGAGAGACTCACACAGAGACCCACAGAGACCCACAGAGACCCACAGAGACTCACAGAGACTCACACAGAGACCCACAGAGACGCACAGAGACGCACAGAGACCCAGAGACTCACACAGAGACTCACACAGACTCGCACAGAGACTCACACAGAGATCCACAGAGACTCACAAAGACCCACACAGAGACCACCCACAGACTCACACTGTGTGTGAGTCTGTGGGTGGCTCTGTGTGTGCCACTGTGTGTGTCACTGTGTGTCACTGTGTGTGTCACTGTGTGTCTCTGTCACTGTGTGTGTCTCTGTGTCACTGTGTGTGTCACTGTGTGTCTGTGTGTGTCACTGTGTGTGTGTCTCTGTGTGTGTCTCTGTGTCACTGTGTGTGTGTGTCTCTGTCACTGTGTGTATCTCTGTGTGTGTCTGTCACTGTGTGTGTGTCACTGTGTGTGTCACTGTGTGTGTGTCACTGTGTCATTGTGTCTGTGTTTCACTGTGTCACTGTGTGTGTCACTGTGTGTGTCACTGTGTGTCACTGTGTGTGTCACTGTGTGTCTGTGTGTGTCACTGTGTGTCTCTGTCACTGTGTGTCTCTTTCTGTCACTGTGTGTGTCTCTGTGTCACTGTGTGTGTGTCTCTGTCACTGTGTGTCTCTGTCACGGTGTGTCTCTGTGTGTGTGTCACTGTGTGTGTGTGTCACTGTGTGTGTGTCATTGTGTTTGTGTGTTTCACTATGTCACTGTGTGTGTGTCACTGTGTGTGTCACTGTGTGTGTCTCTATGTGTGTCACTGTGTGTGTCTCTATGTGTGTCACTGTGTGTCTGTGTGTGTCACTGTGTGTCTCTGTCACTGTGTGTGTATCACTCTGTGTGTCACTGTGTGTCTGTGTGTCTGTGTGTGTCTCTCTGTGTCACTGTGTGTGTCTCTGTGTGTCTCTGTGTCACTGTGTGTGTGTCACTGTGTCTGTGTGTCACTGTGTCTGTGTGTCACTGTGTCTGTGTGTTTCACTATGTCACTGTGTGTGTATCACTCTGTGTGTCACTGTGTGTGTGCCACTGTGTGTGTGTCACTGTGTCATTGTGTCTGTGTGTTTCACTGTGTCACTGTGTGTGTCACTGTGTGTGTCTCTGTGTGTCTGTCACTGTGTGTGTGTCTCTGTGTGTGTCTCTCTGTGTGTGTCTGTTACTGTGTGTGTGTCACTGTGTCATTGTGTCTGTGTGTTTCACTGTGTCACTGTGTGTGTGTCACTGTGTGTGTGTCACTGTGTGTCTCTGTCACTGTGTGTGTCTCTGTGTGTGTCTGTCACTGTGTTTGTGTCACTGTGTGTGTGTGTCACTGTGTCTGTGTCATTGTGTCTGTGTGTTTCACTGTGTCACTGTGTGTGTGTCACTGTGTGTGTGTCACTGTGTGTGTCACTGTGTGTGTCTCTGTCACTGTGTGTGTCTCTGTGTGTCACTGTGTGTCTCTCTGTGTCACTGTGTGTTTCTGTCACTGTGTGTGTGTCTCTGTGTGTGTCTCTCTGTGTCTCTGTGTGTCTCCGTGTGTGTGTGTCACTGTGTGTGTGTCACTGTGTGTGTCACTGTGTGTGTGTCACTGTGTGTGTGTCACTGTGTGTGTCACTGTGTGTGTGTCACTGTGTCATTGTGTCTGTGTGTTTCACTGTGTCACTGTGTGTCTGTCACTGTGTGTCTCTCTGTGTCACTGTGTGTCACTATGTGTGTCACTGTGTGTCTGTGTGTGTCACTCTGTGTGTCACTGTGTGTCTCTGTCACTGTGTGTGTCTCTTTGTGTCACTGAGTGTGTCACTGTGTGTGTCTCTGTCACTGTGTGGTGTCTCTGTGTGTGTCTCTGTGTGTGTGTGTGTCACTGTGTGTGTGTGTCACTGTGTCTGTGTCATTGTCTGTGTGTGTCACTGTGTGTGTCACTGTGTGTGTCACTGTGTGTGTCACTGTGTGTCACTGTGTGTGTCACTGTGTGTGTGTCTCTATGTGTGTGTCACTGTGTGTCTGTGTGTGTCTCTGTCACTGTGTGTGTATCACTCTGTGTGTCACTGTGTGTCTGTGTGTGTCACTGTGTGTCTGTCACTGTGTCACTCTGTGTCACTGTGTGTGTCACTGTGTGTCTCTGTCACTGTGTGTGTATCTCTGTGTGTGTCTTTCTGTGTCACTGTGTGTGTCTCTGTGTCTGTGTGTGTCTCTGTCACTGTGTGTCTCTGTGTGTCTGTCACTGTGTGTGTGTCACTGTGTGTGTGTGTCACTGTGTGTGTGTCACTGTCATTGTGTCTGTGTGTTTCACTGTGTCACTGTGTGTGTGTCACTGTGTGTGTGTCACTGTGTGTCTCTGTGTCACTGTGTGTGTCTCTGTGTGTGTCTGCCACTGTGTGTGTCTCTGTGTGTGTCTGCCACTGTGTGTGTGTCACTGTGTCTGTGTCATTGTGTCTGTGTTTCACTGTGTCACTGTGTGTGTAACTGTGTGTGTGTCACTGTGTGTGTCTCTGTGTGTCTCTCTGTGTGTGTCACTGTGTGTGTGTCACTGTCACTGTGTGTGTGTCTCTGTCACTGTGTGTGTGTCTGTGTCACTGTGTGTGTGTCACTGTGTGTGTGTCACTGTGTGTGTCACTGTGTGTCTCTGTCACTGTGTGTGTCTCTGTGTGTGTGTCACTGTGTGTGTGTCTCTGTCACTGTGTGTGTGTCACTGTGTGTGTGTCACTGTGTGTGTGTGTCACTGTGTGTGTGTGTCACTGTGTGTGTCTCTGTCACTGTGTGTGTCTTTGTGTGTGTGTCACTGTGTGTGTCTCTGTCACTGTGTGTGTGTCACTGTGTGTGTCACTGTGTGTGTGTCTGTGTGTGTGTGTCACTGTGTGTGTGTGTCACTGTGTGTGTGTGTGTCTCTGTCACTGTGTGTGTCTCTGTGTGTGTGTCACTGTGTGTCTCTGTCACTGTGTGTCTCTGTCACTGTGTGTGTGTCACTGTGTGTGTCACTGTGTGTCTCTGTCACTGTGTGTGTCACTGTGTGTCACTGTGTGTGTCACTGTGTGTGTCACTGTGTGTGTCTCTGTCACTGTGTGTGTGTCACTGTGTGTGTGTCACTGTGTGTGTGTCACTGTGTCTCTGTCACTGTGTCTCTGTCACTGTGTCTCTGTCACTGTGTCTCTGTCACTGTGTCTCTGTCACTGTGTCTCTGTCACTGTGTGTGTGTCTCTGTCACTGTGTGTGTGTCTCTGTCACTGTGTGTGTGTCTCTGTCACTGTGTGTGTCACTGTGTGTGTGTCTCTGTCACTGTGTGTGTCACTGTGTGTGTGTCACTGTCACTGTGTGTGTCACTGTGTGTGTGTCACTGTGTGTCTCTGTCACTGTGTGTCACTGTGTGTGTGTCTCTGTCACTGTGTTTGTCTCTGTGTGTCTCTCTGTGTGTCTCTCTGTGTCTCTCTGTGTCACTGTGTGTGTCACTGTGTGTCTGTTACTGTGTGTGTCACTGTGTGTCTGTTACTGTGTGTCTCTCTGTGTCACTGTGTGTGTCACTGTGTGTCTCTGTGTCACTGTGTCTCTGTCACTGTGTGTGTGTCACTGTGTGTCTCTGTCACTGTGTGTGTGTCTCTGTCACTGTGTGTCTGTCACTGTGTGTGTGTTTCTGCCACTGTGTTTGTCTCTGTGTGTCTGTTACTGTGTGTCTCTCTGTGTCACTGTGTGTGTCACTGTGTGTCTCTCTGTGTCACTGTGTCTCTGTCACTGTGTGTGTGTCACTGTGTGTGTGTCACTGTGTGTCTCTGTGTCTCTGTCACTGTGTGTGTCACTGTGTGTGTGTCTGTCACTGTGTTTGTCTCTATGTGTCTGTTACTGTGTGTCTCTCTGTGTCACTGTGTGTGTCACTGTGTGTCTCTCTGTGTCACCCCGTGTGTGTCTCTCTGTGTCACTGTGTGTCTCTCTGTGTCACCCCGTGTGTGTCTCTCTGTGTCACCCCGTGTGTGTCTCTGTCACTGTGTGTGTGTCACTGTGTGTCTCTGTGTGCCACTGTGTGTCTCTCTGTGTCACCCCGTGTGTGTGTCTCTGTGTCACCCTGTGTGTGTCTCTCTGTGTCACTGTGTCACTCTGTGTGTCACTGTGTGTGTCTCTGTGTGTGTCTCTGTGTGTCTGTGTCTCTGTGTGTGTCTGTGACTGTGTGTGAGTCACTGTGTGTGTGTCACTGTGTGTGTGTGTCACTGTCTCTGTGTGTCTCTCACTGTGTGTCTGTGTGTGGGTCTCTGTGTCTCTGTCACTGTGTGTGTCTCTTTGATTTGGTAATAGCTGCTCATTCAGAAGAGGAGTTGGAGACGCTGCTGCTGCTGAGACTGGAGCGTGCCACTCAGAGGTGGGGCCTTACCATCAGCCCCATCAAAACTAAGCACCTGCCTGGGTATATTGTACCATCGGGTGGGTAGGTGGGTGGGGTGAGGTGGGTGAGTGGGTGGGTGGGGTGAGGTGGGTGAGGTGGGTGGGTGGGGTGGGTGAGTGGGTGGGTAGGTGGGTGGGGTGAGGTGGGTGGGTGGGGTGAAGTGGGTGGGGTGGGGTGAAGTGGGTGGGGTGGGGTGAAGTGGGTGGGGTGGGGTGAGGTGGGTGGGGTGGGGTGAGGTGGGTGGGGTGAGGTGGGTGGGGTGGGTGAGGTGGGGTGGGTGGGGTGAGGTGAGGTGGGTGGGGTGAGGTGAGGTGGGTGGGGTGAGGTGAGGTGGGTGGGGTGAGGTGGGTGGGGTGAGGTAAGGTGGGTGGGGGGCGGTGAGGTGGGTGGGTGGGGTGGGGTGGGGTGAGGTGGGGGGGTGGGGTGAGGTGGGGGGTGAGGTGGGTGGGTGGGGTGAGGTGGGTGGGTGGGGTGAGGTGGGTGGGTGGGGTGGGGTGGGTGGGTGGGGTGAGGTGGGTGGGTGGGGTGAGGTGGGTGGGTGGGGTGAGGTGGGTGGGTGGGGTGAGGTGGGTGGGTGGGGTGAGGTGGGTGGGTGGGGTGAGGTGGGTGGGTGGGGTGAGGTGGGTGGGTGGGGTGAGGTGGGGTGAGGTGGGGTGGGGTGTGTCGGTGGGTGGGGTGGGGTGTGTCGGTGGGTGGGGTGGGGTGTGTCGGTGGGTGGGGTGGGTGTGTCGGTGGGTGGGGTGGGGTGTGTCGGTGGGTGAGTGGGTGGGTGGGTGGGTGGGTGAGTGGGTGGGGTGGGTGGGTGGGTGAGTGGGTGGGGTGGGTGGGTGGGTGAGTGGGTGGGGTGGGTGGGTGGGTGAGTGGGTGGGGTGGGTGGGTGGGTGAGTGGGTGGGGTGGGTGGGTGGGTGAGTGGGTGAGTGGGTGGGGTGGGTGGGTGGGTGAGTGGGTGGGGTGGGTGGGTGGGTGAGTGGTGGGTGGGGGTGGGTGGGTGGGTGAGTGGGTGGGTGGGTGGGTGGGTGAGTGGGTGGGGTGGGTGGGTGGGTGAGTGGGTGGGGTGGGTGGGTGGGTGAGTGGGGTGGGTGGGTGGGGTGGGTGAGTGGGGTGGGTGAGTGGGGGTGAGTGGGTGGGGTGGGTGGGTGGGTGAGTGGGTGGGGTGGGTGGGTGGGTGAGTGGGTGGGGTGGGTGGGTGGGTGAGTGGGTGGGGTGGGTGGGTGGGTGAGTGGGTGGGGTGGGTGGGTGGGTGAGTGGGTGGGGTGGGTGGGTGGGTGGGTGGGTGGGTGAGTGGGTGAGTGGGTGAGTGGGTGAGTGGGTGGGTGGGTGAGTGGGTGGGGTGGGTGGGTGGGTGGGTGAGTGGGTGGGGTGGGTGGGTGGGTGAGTGGGTGGGGTGAGGTGGGTAGTTGGGTGAGTGATGGAGTGAGTGAGTATATGTGGCTATTGCAGCGAGTAACTGTTGCTATGGCTGTTGCTGTGGCTGTTGCTATGGCTGTAACCGTAGCTACCGCAGGCTCCACCCCAAGCTCGCAGAGTGACGCCGACGGCCTGGCGCTGGGGGGAGCCGCCGGGGGTGGGGGCTACGCTACCATGGCAACCGGTCAGCCCCCCCCCACTCACCCCCACCATCGTCACCCCCCCCACCCCCCATCCCCTCCCTCCCCCTCCCTTCCACCCCCTCCCCCCCACCCCAGCCACTCACCCACCCACTCACCCACCCACTCACCCACCCACTCACCCACCCACTCACCCACCCACTCACCCACCCACTCACCCACCCACTCACCCACCCACTCACCCACCCACCCACTCAGCCACTCACCCACTCACCCACTCACTCACTCACCCACTCAGCCACTTACCCACTCACTCACCCACCCACCCACTCACTCACCCACTCACTCACTCACTCACTCACCCACTCACTCACCCACTCACCCACTCACCCACTCAGCCACTCACCCACTCAGCCACTCACCCACTCACCCACTCACTCACTCACTCACTCACCCACTCAGCCACTCACCCACTCACTCACCCCACCCCACCCACTCACTCACCCACTAACCCACCCACTCACCCACTCACCCACCCACTCACTCACCCACTCACCCACTCACCCACCCACTCACCCACTCACTCACCCACTCACCCACTCACTCACCCACGCATTTACCCACTCACTCACTCACTCTCCCACCCACTCACCCACCCACCCACCCACCCACTCACTCACCCACCCACTCACTCACCCACCCACCCACTCACCCACTCAGCCACTCACCCACCCACTCACCCACTCACCCACTCACCCACTCACTCACTCACCCACTCACTCACCCACCCACTCACCCACTCACCCACTCACCCACTCACTCACTCACCCACTCACTCACCCACCCACTCACCCACTCACCCACTCACTCACCCACTCACTCACTCACACACTCACTCACTCAGCCACCCACTGACACAGCCACTCAGCCACCCACTCACTCAGCCACTCACCCACTCACTCACCCACCCACCTACTCATCCCATCACTCACCCACCCACTCACTCACCCACTCACTCACCCACTCACTCACCCACTCACTCACCCACTCACTCACCCACTCACTCACCCACTCACTCACCCACTCACTCACCCACTTACTCACCCCTCACTCACCCACTCACCCACCCACCTACTCATCCACTCACTCACCCCTCACTCACCCACCCACTCACTCACCCACTCACTCACCCACTCACTCACCCACTCACTCACTCACCCACTCACTCACTCACCCACTCACTCACCCACCCACTCACCCACTCACCCACTCACCCACTCACTCACTCACCCACTCACTCACCCACCCACTCACCCACTCACCCACTCACTCACCCACTCACTCACTCACCCACTCACCCACTCAGCCACCCACTGACACAGCCACTCAGCCACCCACTCACTCAGCCACTCACCCACTCACTCACCCACCCACCTACTCATCCTCACCACCACTCACTCACCCACTCACTCACCCACTCACTCACCCACTCACTCACCCACTCACTCACCCACTCACCCACTCACTCACCCACTCACTCACCCACTCACTCACCCACTCACTCACCCACTCACTCACCCACTCACTCACCCACTCACTCACCCCTCACTCACCCACTCACCCACCCACCTACTCATCCACTCACTCACCCCTCACTCACCCACCCACTCACTCACCCACTCACTCACCCACTCACTCACCCACTCACTCACTCACCCCACTCACTCACTCAGCCACTCACTCACCCACTCACTCACCCACTCACTCACCCACTCACTCACCCACTCACCCACTCACTCACCCACTCACTCACCCACTCACCCAATCACTCACCCACTCACTCACCCCTCACTCACTCATTCACCCACCCACTCACTCACCCACTCCCCCTCCACACCCTCCCCCCAACCCCCCATGCCCCTCCCTTCCACCCCCTCCCCATCCCCTCCCTCCCACCCCCTCCCCTCTCCCCCACCCCCTGGTGATGGTGATGGTGGTGATGGTGGTAATGGTGATGATGGTGGTGATGGTGGTGATGATGATGATGGTGGTGATGGTGGTGATGTTGATGGTGGTGATGGTGGTGATGTTGATGGTGGTGATGATGAGGTTGGTGATGTTGATGGTGGTGATGTTGATGGTGGTGATGATGATGATGATGGTGGTGGTGATGGTGGTGATGTTGGTGATGGTGGTGATGGTGGTGGACTGTGTGTGGTGGTGAGCAGGTGGTGAGGTTCCTGCTTGCGATGAGGCTCCACCTGTGCCTGCTCACCTCACTCCCTCCCGTCTACCGCACCCAGCTGCTCCACCAGGGTGAGTCACTCGCTCACCCCTCACCCGCTCACTCACCCATTCACTCACTCACTCAGCCACTCAGCCACCCACTCATCCACTCACTCACCCACTCACCCCTCACTCACCCACTCAGCCACTCAGCCACCCACTCACCCACTCATCCACTCACCCACCCACTCACTCATCCACTCACCCACTCACCACTCACTCACTCACCCACTCACTCACTCACTCACTCAGCCACTCACCCACTCAGCCACTCAGCCACTCAGCCACTCAGCCACTCACTCACCCACCCACCCACTCACTCACCCACTAACCCACCCACTCACCCACTCACCCACCCACCCACTCACTCACCCACTCACTCACTCACCCACTCACCCACTCAGCCATTCACCCACTCACCCACCCACTCACCCACTCACTCACCCACTCACCCACTCACCCACTCACTCACCCACGCACTTACCCACTCACTCACTCACTCTCCCACCCACCCACCCACTCACTCACTCACCCACCCACCCACTCACCCACTCAGCCACTCACCCACTCACTCACCCACCCACTCACCCACTCACCCACTCACCCACTCACCCACTCACTCACTCACTCACCCACTCACTCACCCACCCACTCACCCACTCACCCACCCACTCACCCACTCACTCACCCACTCACCCACTCACCCACTCACTCACCCACCCACTTACCCACTCACTCACTCACTCACTCTCCCACCCACCCACCCACTCACTCACTCACCCACCCACCCACTCACCCACTCAGCCACTCACCCACTCACTCACCCACCCACTCACCCACTCACCCACTCACCCACTCACCCACTCACTCACTCACTCACCCACTCACTCACCCACCCACTCACCCACTCACCCACTCACCCACTCACTCACTCACCCACTCACTCACCCACCCACTCACCCACTCACCCACTCACTCACCCACTCACTCACTCACCCACTCACCCACTCAGCCACCCACTGACACAGCCACTCAGCCACCCACTCACTCAGCCACTCACCCACTCACTCACCCACCCACCTACTCATCCCATCACTCACCCACCCACTCACTCACCCACTCACTCACCCACTCACTCACCCACTCACTCACCCACTCACTCACCCACTCACTCACCCACTTACTCACCCCTCACTCACCCACTCACCCACCCACCTACTCATCCACTCACTCACCCCTCACTCACCCACCCACTCACTCACCCACTCACTCACCCACTCACTCACTCACCCACTCACTCACTCAGCCACTCACTCACCCACTCACTCACCCACTCACTCACCCACTCACCCACTCACTCACCCACTCACTCACCCACTCACCCAATCACTCACCCACTCACTCACCCCTCACTCACTCATTCACCCACCCACTCACTAGCCCACTCCCCCTCCACACCCTCCCCCCAACCCCCCATGCCCCTCCCTTCCACCCCCTCCCCATCCCCTCCCTCACACCCCCTCCCCTCTCCCCCACCCCCTGGTGATGGTGATGGTGGTGATGGTGGTGATGGTGGTGATGGTGGTGATGGTGGTAATGGTGATGGTGGTGATGGTGGTAATGGTGATGGTGGTAATGGTGATGATGGTGGTGATGGTGGTGATGATAATGATGGTGGTGATGGTGGTGATGTTGATGGTGGTGATGGTGGTGATGTTGATGGTGGTGATGATGAGGTTGGTGATGTTGATGGTGGTGATGTTGATGGTGGTGATGTTGATGGTGGTGATGATGATGGTGGTGATGATGATGATGATGGTGGTGGTGATGGTGGTGATGTTGGTGATGGTGGTGATGGTGGTGGACTGTGTGTGGTGGTGAGCAGGTGGTGAGGTTCCTGCTTGCGATGAGGCTCCACCTGTGCCTGCTCACCTCACTCCCTCCCGTCTACCGCACCCAGCTGCTCCACCAGGGTGAGTCACTCGCTCACCCCTCACCCGCTCACTCACCCATTCACTCACTCACCCACTCACTCATTCACTCACTCACCCACTCACTCACTCACTCACCCACTCCGCCACTCAGCCACCCACCCACTCACTCACCCACTCACTCACCCACTCACCCCTCACTGACCCACTCACCCCTCACTCACCCCTCACTCACCCACTCACCCACTCACCCACTCACTCACCCACTCACTCACTCACTCACTCACCCACTCACTCACCCACTCAGTCACCCACTCACCCACCCACCCACCCACCCACCCACCCACTCACCCACCCACCCACTCACTCACTCACTCACCCACTCACCCACTCACCCACCCACCCACTCACTCACTCACCCACTCACTCACTCATCCACTCACCCACTCACTCACCCACCCACTCACCCACCCACTCACCCACTCACTCACTCAGCCACTCACCCACTCACTCACTCATCCACTCACCCACTCACTCATCCACTCAGCCACTCAGCCACCCACTCACTCAGCCACTCAGCCACCCACTCACTCAGCCACTCACCCACTCACCCACCCACTCACTCACCCACTCACCCACTCACTCACCCACTCACCCACCCACCTACTCATCCACTCACTCACCCCTCACTCACCCACCCACTCACTCACCCACCCACCTACTCATCCACTCACTCACCACTCACTCACCCACTCACTCACCCACTCACTCACCCACTCACTCACTCACCCACTCACTCACTCACCCACTCACTCACTCACTCACCCACTCACTCACTCACCCACTCCCCCTCCTCTCCTCCTCACCCCTCCCCTCCTCCTCCACACCCTCCCCCCAACCCCCCATGCCCCCCACCCCTCCCCCCATCCCCTCCCAACCCCTCCCCTCTCCCCCACCCCCTGGTGATGATGATGGTGGTGATGTTGGTGATGATGGTGATGGTGGTGATGGTGATGTTGGTGATGGTGGTGATGGTGGTGATGGTGGTGATGGTGGTGATGGTGGTGATGATGGTGATGGTGGTGATGGTGGTGATGTTGATGGTGGTGATGGTGGTGATGATAATGGTGGTGATGGTGGTGATGATAATGGTGGTGATGTTGGTGATGGTGGTGATGGTGGTGATGGTGGTGATGGTGGTGATGGTGGTGATGGTGGTGATGGTGGTGATGGTGGTGATGGTGGTGATGATGATGGTGGTCATGGTGGTGATGATGATGATGGTGGTCATGGTGATGATGGTGGTGGTGATGGTGGTGATGGTGGTGATGGTGGTGATGGTGGTGATGGTGATGGTGGTGGACTGTGTGTGGTGGTGAGCAGGTGGTGAGGTTCCTGCTTGCGATGAGGCTCCACCTGTGCCTGCTCACCTCACTCCCTCCCGTCTACCGCACCCAGCTGCTCCACCAGGGTGAGTCGCTCGCTCACCCCTCACCCGCTCACCCGCTCACTCAGCCATTCACTCACTCACTCACCCACTCACTCATTCACCCACTCACTCAGCCACTCAGCCACCCACTCACCCACTCATCCACTCACCCACCCACTCACTCATCCACTCACTCACCCACTCACCCCTCACTCACCCTCTCACCCCTCACTCACCCACTCACTCACCCACTCAGCCACTCAGCCACCCACTCACCCACTCATCCACTCACTCATCCACTCACTCACCCACTCACCCACTCACTCACTCACCCACTCAGCCACTCACCCACCCACTCACCCACTCACTCACTCAGCCACTCACCCACTCACCCACTCACTCACCCACTCACTCACCCACTCACCCACTCACCCCTCACTCACCCACTCACTCACCTACTCACCCACTCACTCACTCATCCACTCACCCACTCACCCCTCACTCACCCACTCACCCACTCACCCCTCACTCACCCACTCACCCACTCACCCCTCACTCACCCACTCACCCCTCACTCACCCACTCACTCACCCACTCAGCCACCCACTAACCCACTCATCCACTCACTCACCCACTCACTCACCCACTCACTCATCCACTCACTCACCCACTCACCCACTCACTCACTCACCCACTCACTCACTCAGCCACTCACCCACTCACTCACCCACTCACTCACCCACTCACTCACCCACTCACCCACTCACCCACTCACTCACCCACTCACTCACTCAGCCACTCACCCACTCACTCACCCACTCACTCACCCACTCACTCACCCACTCACTCATCCACTCACTCACCCACTCACTCACCCACTCACTCATCCACTCACTCACCCACTCACCCACTCACTCACTCACCCACTCACTCACTCAGCCACTCACCCACTCACTCACCCACTCACTCACCCACTCACTCACCCACTCACTCACCCACTCACCCACTCACTCACTCACCCACTCACTCACTCAGCCACTCACCCACTCACTCACCCACTCACTCACCCACTCACTCACCACTCACTCACCCACATCATCCACTCATCACCCACTCACCCACTCACTCACTCACCCACTCACTCACTCACTCACCCACTCACCCACTCACTCACCCATTCACTCACCCACTCACTCACCCACTCACACACCACTCACTCACTCACCACCACTCACTCACCCACTCACTCACTCAGCCACTCACCCACTCAGCCACTCACCCACTCACTCACTCACTCACCCACTCACTCACTCACTCACCCACTCACCCACCCACTCACTCACCCACTCACTCACTCACCCACTCACTCACTCAGCCACTCACTCACTCAGCCACTCACCCACTCAGCCACTCACCACTCACTCACCCACTCACTCACCCACTCACTCACCCACTCACTCACCCACTCACTCACCCACTCACTCACCCACTCACTCACCCACTCACTCATCCACTCACTCACCCACTCACCCACTCACTCACTCACCCACTCACTCACTCACTCACCCACTCACCCACTCACTCACCCACTCACTCACCCACTCACCCACTCACCCACTCACTCACCCACTCACTCACTCAGCCACTCACCCACTCAGCCACTCACCCACTCAGCCACTCACCCACTCAGCCACTCACCCACTCACTCACCCACTCACTCACTCACTCACCCCTCCCCCCCATCTTCTCACCCCCACCCCCTCCCCCCCACCTCTCCCCCCATCCCCTCCCAACCCCTCAACCCACCCCTTGGTGATGATGATGGTGGTGGTGATGGTGGTGATGGTGGTGGTGGTGATGGTGGTGATGGTGGTGATGGTGGTGATGGTGGTGATGGTGGTGATGGTGGTGATGGTGGTGATGGTGGTGATGGTGGTGATGGTGGTGGACACCATTGTGTCTGTGTATGGTGATGGTGGTGATGATGGTGATGGTGGTGATGTTGATGGTGGTGATGGTGGTGATGATGATGGTGGTGATGATGATGATGATGGTGGTGATGATGATGATGGTGGTGATGTTGATGATGGTGGTGATGGTGGTGATGATGATGGTGGTGATGGTGGTGAACTGTGTGTGGTGGTGAGGAGGTGGTGAGGTTCCTGCTTGCGATGAGGCTCCACCTGTGCCTGCTCACCTCACTCCCTCCCGTCTACCGCACCCAGCTGCTCCACCAGGGTGAGTCGCTCGCTCACCCCTCGCCCGCTCACCCGCTCACTCACCCATTCACTCACCCACTCACTCACTCACCCACTCAGCCATCCACTCACCCACCCACTCACTCATCCACTCACTCACCCACTCACCCCTCACTCACCCACTCACCCCTCACTCACCCACTCACCCACTCACCCCTCACTCACCCACTCAGCCACCCACTCACCCACTCAGCCACCCACTCACCCACTCATCCACTCACTCATCCACTCACTCACCCACTCACCCACTCACTCACTCACTCACCCACTCACTCACTCACTCACCCACTCAGCCACTCACCCACCCACTCACCCACTCACTCACTCAGCCACTCACTCACCCACTCACTCACTCACTCACTCACCCACTCACTCACCCACTCAGCCACTCAGCCACTCACTCACCCACTCAGCCACTCACCCACCCACTCACCCACTCATCCACTCACTCATCCACTCACTCACCCACTCACCCCTCACTCACCCACTCACCCCTCACTCACCCACTCACCCCTCACTCACCCACTCAGCCACCCACTAACCCACTCATCCACTCACCCACCCACCCACTCACCCCTCACTCACCCACTCACCCCTCACTCACCCACTCAGCCACCCACTAACCCACTCATCCACTCACCCACCCACTCACTCATCCACTCACCCACCCACTCACCCACTCACCCACTCACTCACCCACTCAGCCACTCAGCCACTCAGCCACTCAGCCACTCACCCACTCACCCACTCAGCCACTCACCCACTCACCCACTCACTCACTCACCCACTCACCCACTCACTCACTCAGTCACTCACTCACCCACGCACCCACTCACCCACTCACCCACTCACTCACCCACTCAGCCACTCAGCCACCCACTCACTCACCCACTCACTCACCCACTCACCCACTCACTCACCCACTCACTCACTCAGCCACTCACCCACTCAGCCACTCACCCACTCAGCCACTCACCCACTCAGCCACTCACCCACTCACTCACCCACTCACTCACTCACTCACCCCTCCCCCCCATCTTCTCACCCCCACCCCCTCCCCCCCACCTCTCCCCCCATCCCCTCCCAACCCCTCAACCCACCCCTTGGTGATGATGATGGTGGTGGTGATGGTGGTGATGGTGGTGATGGTGATGGTGGTGATGGTGGTGATGGTGGTGATGGTGGTGATGGTGGTGATGGTGGTGATGGTGGTGATGGTGGTGATGGTGGTGATGGTGGTGATGGTGGTGATGGTGGTGATGGTGGTGGACACCATTGTGTCTGTGTATGGTGATGGTGGTGATGATGGTGATGGTGGTGATGTTGATGGTGGTGATGGTGGTGATGATGATGATGGTGGTGATGATGATGATGGTGGTGATGTTGATGATGGTGGTGATGGTGGTGATGATGATGGTGGTGATGGTGGTGAACTGTGTGTGGTGGTGAGGAGGTGGTGAGGTTCCTGCTTGCGATGAGGCTCCACCTGTGCCTGCTCACCTCACTCCCTCCCGTCTACCGCACCCAGCTGCTCCACCAGGGTGAGTCGCTCGCTCACCCCTCGCCCGCTCACCCGCTCACTCACCCATTCACTCACTCACCCACTCAGCCATCCACTCACCCACCCACTCACTCATCCACTCACTCACCCACTCACCCCTCACTCACCCACTCACCCCTCACTCACCCACTCACCCACTCACCCCTCACTCACCCACTCAGCCACCCACTCACCCACTCAGCCACCCACTCACCCACTCATCCACTCACTCATCCACTCACTCACCCACTCACCCACTCACCCACTCACTCACCCACTCACTCACTCACTCACCCACTCAGCCACTCACCCACCCACTCACCCACTCACTCACTCAGCCACTCACTCACCCACTCACTCACTCACTCACTTACCCACTCACTCACCCACTCAGCCACTCAGCCACTCACTCACCCACTCAGCCACTCACCCACCCACTCACCCACTCATCCACTCACTCATCCACTCACTCACCCACTCACCCCTCACTCACCCACTCACCCCTCACTCACCCACTCACCCCTCACTCACCCACTCAGCCACCCACTAACCCACTCATCCACTCACCCACCCACCCACTCACCCCTCACTCACCCACTCACCCCTCACTCACCCACTCAGCCACCCACTAACCCACTCATCCACTCACCCACCCACTCACTCATCCACTCACCCACCCACTCACCCACTCACCCACTCACTCACCCACTCAGCCACTCAGCCACTCAGCCACTCAGCCACTCACCCACTCAGCCACTCACCCACTCACCCACTCACTCACTCACCCACTCACCCACTCACTCACTCAGCCACTCACCCACCCACTCACCCACTCACTCACCCACGCACCCACTCACCCACTCACCCACTCACTCACCCACTCAGCCACTCAGCCACCCACTCACTCAGCCACTCTGCCACCCACTCACTCAGCCACTCTGCCACCCACTCACTCAGCCACTCACCCATTCACCCACCCACTCACTCACCCACTCACCCACTCACTCACCCACTCACCCCTCACTCACTCACTCACCCACTCCTCCTCCACACCCTCCCCCCAACCCCCCATGCCCCCACCCCTCCCCCTCCTCTCCCCCCTCCCTCCTACCCCCTCCCCTCTCCCCCACCCCCTGGTGATGATGATGGTGGTGATGTTGGTGATGTTGGTGATGATGGTGGTGATGGTGATGGTGGTGATGGTGGTGATGGTGGTGATGATGATGGTGGTGGTGATGGTGGGGGACACCGTTGTGTCTGTGTATGATGGTGGTGATGGTGGTGGACTGTGTGTGGTGGTGATGGTGGTGGACTGTGTTTGGTGGTGGTGGTGGTGGTGATGGTGGTGATGGTGGTGTGATGGTGGTGTTGATGGTAATCATGGTGATGGTGGTGGTGGTGATGGTGGTGGTGATGGTGGTGATGGTGGTGGTGATGGTGGTGGTGGTAATCATGGTGGTGTTGGTGGTGGTGATGGTGGTGGTGATGGTGGTGGTGATGGTAATCATGGTGATGGTGGTGGTGATGGTGGTGGTGATGGTGGTGGTGATGGTGGTGGTGGTGATGGTGATCATGGTGGTGGTGGTGATGGTGGTGGTGGTGATGGTGATCATGGTGATGGTGGTGTGATGGTGGTGTTGATGGTAATCATGGTGATGGTGATGGTGGTGGTGATGGTGTTGATGATAATCATGGTGATGGTGGTGGTGATGGTGGTGGTGATGGTGGTGTTGATGGTAATCATGGTGGTGGTGGTGGTGATGGTGGTGGTGATGGTGTTGATGGTAATCATGGTGATGGTGATGGTGGTGTTGATGGTAATCATGGTGATGGTGGTGGTGGTGGTGATGGTAACCATGGTGATGGTGGTGTTGATGGTGATCATGGTGATGGTGGTGGTGGTGTTGATGGTAATCATGGTGATGGTGGTGGTGATGGTGGTGTTGATGGTGATCATGGTGATGGTGGTGGTGGTGGTGGTGGTGATGGTGGTGTTGATGGTAATCATGGTGGTGGTGGTGTTGATGGTAATCATGGTGATGGTGGTGGTGGTGGTGGTGATGGTAGTCATGTTGATGGTAATCATGGTGGTGGTGGTGTTGATGGTAATCATGGTGATGGTGGTGGTGATGGTGGTGTGATGGTGGTGTTGATGGTAATCATGGTGATGGTGGTGGTGATGGTGGTGGTGATGGTAATCATGGTGATGGTGTGATGGGTGATGGTGGTGTTGATGGTAATCATGGTGATGGTGGTGTTGATGGTGGTGTGATGGTGGTGTTGATGGTAATCATGGTGATGGTGTGATGGGTGATGGTGGTGGTGATGGTGATCATGGTGATGGTGGTGGTGTGATGGTGGTGTTGATGGTGATGGTGGTGTGATGGTGGTGGTGTGATGGTGGTGGTGGGGGGTGGTGGAGAGATGGCTAGATGTAGCGGATGTAATGAGTCCTGACGACAATTCCTCTTTCGACCCCATGCAGTTGGATCCTGAGAGACGGCTGGATGTAGTGGAGTGGCTGGAGACTCTACGTATTGAGTACATCTGTTACCTGTTGCACTGCTGTGTATATTCGTGTCTCTTAGATATTTTTCAGTGATTTCCTGTACACCGAGCTGGAGTGATGTTGTTTGCACAGAAATCAACTCTTCACAGAAACCAGAAAACACATGCGGACGAGAAGCCATTCAATTGTTCTGTGTTGGAGAGGACACGAAACAAGCATGAGAAGATCCGCAATGATATGGAAGTGAAATCAAAAGGTGAAATACAAAATGCTCTGTCTGCTCAGTGGCGCTGTTTTCATTCATTTAGCACCACGAGCGGGGAGTCTCATCCCTGTAGTTCCCTGTTGTGGTGCCGCATTCATCACCACGTTGCCCCTCAATTCTTTGTACGACACAATATGAAAATAAGTTGTGTTCCAATACACATACTTACACGAGTACACATATACACCCCCATGTACACACACCCACACACGAGTGGACATACACAGCGCTGTAGAAACATACACGAATGTGCATACACACTGCCTCATACATACACACACGAGTGTACATACACAGCAGTGTACGTACAAAGGGATTGCGTTCTACTACACGAAGAAATGTGCGAACAAATGATTGTACATACCTATACACACACGTTCACGCATGTACATATCCACATCAACGAGTGTAAATAAACACACGGGTGGACATACACAGCAGTACAGATCCATGTGCATACACACAGTAGTAGACTTGGGTAGCGTGGTTTTGTGATTATTTTCACAGGTTAAGCTGACGATATGAATCGTGTGCGCACGTGCACGATGCATATGCGTCGTTTTCATGCGGGAGGTGGTGGAGCGGTGGTCAACATCGCCTTGCTAGGCACGCTGAGGAGAGGCTTGCGGAGCCCCAATGCGGTTTCAGGAAAGGGCGGTCCTGCACAGATGCCATATTTTCTGTCCGTCTGCTACAGCAGAGTTGTAGGGAGTTCCAACAAGACCTACATCTCTGTTTTATTGACCTGGTCAAGGCCTATGATATCTCACTCCCTTCTACCCCGTGTGTGGACTAATCTCCATCTGTTCCATCTCGCTCCCTTCTACCCCGTGTGTGGACTAATCTCCATCTGTTCCATCTCACTCCCTTCTACCCCGTGTGTGGACTAATCTCCATCTGTTCCATCTCGCTCCCTTCTACCCCGTGTGTGGGCTAATCTCCATCTGTTCCATCTCAGGGCCAGCTGAGTGAGAAAGGCTCGCAAGACGCTGCTGGTGGGTGGGTGAGTGAGTGGGTTAGTGGGTGAGTGAGTGGGTGGGTGGACGGGTTGGTGGGTGGGTTAGTGGGTGAGTGGGTGAGTGGGTGAGTGGGTGGGTGAGTGGGTGAGTGGGTTAGTGGGTGTGCAGGTGGGTGAGTGAGTGGGTGAGTGGCTGTAGAACCGTGTGGATCTCTCCCTCCCTCTCCTCCCCCGTATCTCCCCGGCCCTCCCTCCCCCCTCCCTCCCTCCCCCCTCCCTCCCTCCCCCCTCCCTCCCCTCCCCCCTCCCCCCGCCCGCCCCCCTTGTCCCAGCCACCTTTATCTCCCCAGCCCCGCTGTGGCCATCGCCCAGTGCGTGCTTCGTGGCGTGGACGGGGGCTTCTCTGCGGCTCTACCAGGCCACCGTGGACGCTCGCAAACTCCTGAATCGTCTCGCTCGGCACCCCGACTCTGTGGTGCGGTGGGGTTCACGACGGCCGTGTGGGTGGGTGGGGTTCACGGTGGCCGTGTGGGTGGGTGGGGTTCACGGTGACCGTGTGGGTGGGGTTCACGGTCACCGTGCGGGTGGGTGGGGTTCACGTTGGCCGTGTGGGTGGGTGGGTTGATTATCTGAACCGGTCCTAGGCCTCGCCTAGGTCGACTCAGCCTGAAATGAGTAGCTGGTGTAGCAGTGGTGTGTGGTAGTGAACATCGCTAGCACTGGGGGAGAGACAAAGGCGGCCGGGCGTGGTAGTGCTGGCCACCCACCCCCTCTGTGTGTGTAGCCACAGTGCCGGTAGCCTTCACAGGCGCTACTCGCTAACTGCACTTGCCCCTACAGTCTGTTAATGCTATAGGGGGGATCTTTGTCTCTGTGTGTGTGTCTCTGTGTGTGTCTCTGTGTGTGGGGGTGGTGGGGGTGGTGGTGGCGGGGGTGATGGTGGTGGTGGTAGGGGTGGTGGTGGTGGCGGGGGTGATGGTGGTGGTGGTAGGGGTGGTGGTGGTGATGGTGGTGGTGGTGGCGGCGGTGGCGGTAGCGCCAGTCTCAAACCCGTCTCTCTCTCCGCCCGCCCGCCCAGCCTCACGCGACCCCTCCACCCACCTCCACCCACCACCACCCACCACCACCACCACCCACCACCACCACCCCCCACCACCACCACCACGACAGGCACGGCGGCTACGCCTCCCTCTTCACCTCCCCCACCGCGACGGAGCCGCCAACGCCGCCCCCTCCTCCCGTCGAGGCGGCGCCGTCCGCCCGTCCGCCGGAGGCCCCGGAGACTTTGTGCCGGAGCTGGCCAGGGTCCTGTCGGCCCACGTGGTGCACTCGAGTTTGCCGGGACTCTCCAGCCTGGAGCAGATGTGCCTCCTGGCACTCGCCCCCCCCACACCGTCGCCAGCACCGGGGGGCACGTCGGGGCTGGGCGCGGGCTCGCTGGTGGGTGGGGGGTGGGTGAGTGGGTGGGTGAGTGGGTGGGTGGGTGGTTGAGTGGGTGAGTGGATAGGTGGGTGGGTGGGTGGTTGAGTGAGTGAGTGGATAGGTGAGTGGGTGGGTCGTTGAGTGGGTTGGTGGTTGAGTGGGTGAGTGGGTGGGTGGTTGAGTGGGTGGGTGGTTGAGTGGGTGGGTGGTTGAGTGGGTGGGTGGTTGAGTGGGTGGGTGGTTGAGTGGGTGGGTGGTTGAGTGGGTGGGTGGTTGAGTGGGTGGGTGGTTGAGTGGGTGGGTGGTTGAGTGGGTGAGTGGGTGGGTTAGTGGGTGGGTGGTTGAGTAGGTGAGTCGGTGGGTTAGTGGGTGGGTGAGTGGGTGGGTGGTTGAGTAGGTGAGTGGATAGGTGGATAGGTGAGTGGGTGGGTGGGCGAGTGAGTGAGTGGATGAGTGAGTGAGTGGATGAGTGAGTGAGTGGATGAGTGGATAGGTGGATGGGTGGGTGGTTGAGTGGGTGGGTGGTTGAGTGGGTGGGTGGTGGAGTGGGTGGGTGGTTGAGTGGGTGGGTGGGTGGTTGAGTGGGTGGGTGGTTGAGTGGGTGGGTGGTTGAGTGGGTGGGTGGTTGAGTGGGTGGGTGGTTGAGTGGGTGAGTGGGTGGGTTAGTGGGTGGGTGGTTGAGTAGGTGAGTCGGTGGGTTAGTGGGTGGGTGAGTGGGTGGGTGGTTGAGTAGGTGAGTGGATAGGTGGATAGGTGAGTGGGTGGGTGGGTGGGTGGGTGGGTGGGTGGGCGAGTGAGTGAGTGGATAGATGGGTGGGTGGTTGAGTGGGTGAGTGGATAGGTGGATGGGTGGGTGGTTGAGTGGGTGGGTGGTTGAGTGGGTGAGTGGATAGGTGGATGGGTAGGTGGTGGAGTGGGTGGGTGGTTGAGTGGGTGGGTGAGTGGGTGGGTGGGTGAGTGGATAGGTGAGTGGGTGGGTGGTTGAGTGAGTGAGTGGATAGGTGAGTGGGTGGGTGGGTGAGTGAGTAGGTGGGTGAGTGGATAGGTGGGTGGGTGAGTGGGTAGGTGGTTGAGTGGGTGGGTGAGTGGTTGAGTGGGTGAGTGGATAGGTGGATAGTTGAGTGGGTGGGTGGTTGAGTGGGTGAGTGGATGGGTGGGTGGTTGAGTGGGTGGGTGGTTGAGTGGGTGAGTGGATAGGTGGATGGGTAGGTGGTGGAGTGGGTGGGTGGTTGAGTGGGTGGGTGAGTGGGTGGGTGGGTGAGTGGATAGGTGAGTGGGTGGGTGGTTGAGTGAGTGAGTGGATAGGTGAGTGGGTGGGTGGGTGAGTGAGTAGGTGGGTGAGTGGATAGGTGGGTGGGTGAGTGGGTAGGTGGTTGAGTGGGTGGGTGAGTGGTTGAGTGGGTGAGTGGATAGGTGGATAGTTGAGTGGGTGGGTGGTTGAGTGGGTGAGTGGATAGGTGGGTGGGTGGGTGATTGAGTGGGTGGGTGGTTGAGTGAGTGAGTGGATAGGTGAGTGGGTGGGTGGTTGAGTGGGTAGGTGAGTGGATAGGTGGGTGGGTGATTGAGTGGGTGGGTGGTTGAGTGGGTGGGTGGTTGAGTAGGTGGGTGGTTGAGTAGGTGAGTGGGTGGGTTAGTGGGTGGTTGAGTGGGTGGGTGGTTGAGTAGGTGAGTGGATAGGTGGGTGGGTGGGTGATTGAGTGGGTGGGTGGTTGAGTGAGTGAGTGAGTGGATAGGTGAGTGGGTGGGTGGTTGAGTAGGTGAGTGGATGAGTGGGTGGGTGGTGAGTGGGTGGGTGGTTGAGTGGGTGGGTGGTTGAGTGGGTGGTTGAGTGGGTGAGTGGGTGGGTTAGTGGGTGGGTGGTTGAGTGGGTGGGTGGTTGAGTAGGTGAGTGGATAGGTGGATAGGTGAGTGGGTGGGTGGGTGGGCGAGTGAGTGAGTGGATAGGTGGATGGGTAGGTGGTGGAGTGGGTGGGTGGTTGAGTGGGTAGGTGGGTGATTGGGTGGGTGGGTGAGTGGATAGGTGAGTGGGTGGTTGAGTGGGTGAGTGGATAGGTGAGTGGGTGGTTGAGTGGGTGAGTGGATAGGTGAGTGGGTGGTTGAGTGGGTGAGTGGGTTGGTGGTTGAGTAGGTGAGTGGATAGGTGGGTGAGTGAGTAGGTGGTTGAGTGGGTGAGTGGATAGGTGGGTGGGTGAGTGGGTAGGTGGTTGAGTGGGTGAGTGGATAGGTGGGTGGTTGAGTGGGTGAGTGGATAGGTGGATGGGTGGGTGATTGAGTGGGTGGGTGGTTGAGTGAGTGAGTGGGTGGTTGAGTGAGTGAGTGGGTGGTTGAGTGGGTGGGTGGTTGAGTGGTTGGGTGGTTGAGTAGGTGAGTGGGTGGGTTAGTGGGTAGGTGAGTGGGTGGGTGGTTGAGTAGGTGAGTGGATAGGTGGATAGGTGAGTGGGTGGGTGGGCGAGTGAGTGAGTGGATAGATTGGTGGGTGGTTGAGTGGATGAGGGGATAGGTGGGTGGGTGGGTTGGTGAGTGGGTGGGTGGGTGAGTGCATAGGTGGGTGGTTGAGTGGGTGGGTGGTTGGGGGGT